ACCTCCAGGCTCAGTACCCCCAGGCTCAGCACCCCCAGTAGTAGTACCCTCAGGCTCAGCACCCCCAGGCGTAGCACCCACACGCTCAGCACCCCCAGAGTCAGCACCCCCAGGCTCAGCACCCTCAGCAGCACCAGAGTCACCAGTAACCTCGACAGGCTCGACTGCGTCTACCTGGGACACACCTGAAGGGGCAGGACCCTGAGGGGGGAGGGGGTCTACCGGGGGGGGACCTGGCACAAGGAAGAGCGGTGGTGGGGGGAGGGACGGAGTGCGGTAGGGGAAGAGGCGGTAGTAGGGGACCGACTCGTCAAACGTGACGTCCTGGGAGGACAGAACACGGCGAGAGGTGGGGTGGTAGAACTGCCACCCTGGCGCGTCAGGGGGGAAGCCAAGGAAGACGCAAGGAGCAGCACGAGGGGACAGCTTGTCCACAGACAAGTCGCGGACAAACGCCCGAGATCCCCAGACACGGAACGCAGACGCATCGCCAACCTTCCCCGTCCACAGCAAAGCTGGGGAGGTCTCCGGCCTGGAGACCCTAGGGTGAAGGTTGATCTGATGCGCCGCGTACCGAACCGCAAACGGCCACAGAAAATGGGGGGCAGCCGCATGCATCATGGACGTACGGGCGACGTCCATGACCATGCCAATGCGGCGCTCAGCAATCCCATTTTGCTGTGGAGAGTCCGGAAGCGTGAAGGTCTGGCGGATGCCTCGTGCACGACAGTAGGCTCGCAGCAGGCCAGAGGAGAACTCTCCACCTCTGTCAGAGTGCAGACGCAGAACAGGAAAGTCCGAGCCGAAGCTCTGCCTGAGCTGGAGACGAGCTGCGCGGATCCAGTCGATCAACACCTCAGTGACATCACCCTTGCTGCGCAAGGGGAAGACTGTGGTGTAACGCGAGTAGTCGTCAACCACCAGCAGGAAGTAGCGCTCGTGACCCTGTCCACGGACGCGGGCCGGGCCCCACACGTCCATGTGAAGCGTCTGCAGCGGGGCCTCTGTCGGAGGAAACTGGGAGGAGTGAGGGGCAGCCGGCTGCCGCCCCTCGACACAGGGGACGCAGGTAGGGCCAGGCCCCGGAGGAAGGGGAGGGAGGGACCGGGGAAGACCAGAGACAAGGACACGGGAGGCCATGCCTCGGAGACGAAGCAGGGAGGGGTGACCAAGGCGGTGGTGCCAGAGGAGAGTCTCGTGAGACAGGAGGTGACACGAACAGGGGGCAGACTCAGGACCAGACCTGGACGCTGCAGCAAACACCTGACCCGACGCAGCTACCTGACCAGACGCAGTGACTGGAGGAGACGCAGTGGTCAGGGTGTACAGGCTCGACCCCGGCCGACGGGTAAACGTGGCCAGGTGTCGGCCAGTCCGAGCGTCCGTGCAGTGGGTCACCCGCTGACTCGCAGGAGTGAACTGGTGAACCCCCGCATCCTGTAGATCAGCACCACTCACCAAGTTCGTAGAGAACGAGGGGAGGTAAAGACCAGACAGGGTGCCAGAGGGGGCCGCCGGACACGGGAGGACAGTGGAGAAGTGAGCAAGGACAGGACCCCAAGAGGGGTCTGCCAGAGAGACCGCAACTGGCCGGCCAAGCGGCGTGAGTGTGGTGCGGTCTCGAAAGAAGGAGCGTGAAGGTGTGGGAGGCCGAAGCCGACGCAGAACCTGAGAGAGCAGACTCACCAGCACCTGAGGGAGCAGACGCACCTAGAGCAGCAGCCTCGCTAGCACCTAGAGCAGCAGCCTCACCAGTACCTAGAGCAGCAGTCTCAATGCCCGGGTCGGGCGGAAAACACCGGTAACAGTCACCCTCATCACTAATAGTCACAGTATACATAGCAGCAAGAATAGCATCAAAGTCAAGGTCAAAGACAGCGACACCCGCCCTAGACAGCTCACCCCAGCGGGGGATCTCAGTGGCCTCAGGGAACTGGTGACGCCAAGCGTCCGTCAGGCGGCCAAAGCAGCGCTGGGTGGAGTGCGCACCCCCGCACTGGTCACCCGCGCGGTCGCCGGTGCGGAGGACGTAGGTGCACGGACCAGTACCCCCACCCCGCTGGCGTGCAGCGTACCACTCACGGAGCTGCTGAGGGGGGGGGATGTCACGAGTGCGCTGCTGCTGCTGCTGCTGCTGCTGCTGGCGCTGACCACCACCGGAGCCGACCCTCTGCGCAGCGCCACCCCGACCAGCTCCACCTCCTCCGCCGCCGCCTCCTCCACCGCCGCTACCTCCGCTCCCACCGCCACCGCCGCCGCCGCCTCCGCCTCCACCGCCGCCACCGACACCTCCACCCCCACCACCACCCCCACCGCCACCCCCACCCCCTCCACTGCCTCCACCGCCGCCTCCACCGCCCCCGCTAGCTCCTCCAGTGCCCCTGCCCCCCTTGCCCTTGCCAGGGCGGCGTCTCCCGCTAGGGGTAGACGCCGCACCGACCGACTCAAGCCCAACGAGGTCGGCCGCAGCAGCAGAGGCAACAGAGGGCAAAAGGGGGGAGGGGGAACACCCCTCAAAGATGGGGGTGCGAGGGTCACCACGAGAGGCTCCTACAGCGACTATGCTCTTCTCTGCTGCTAGGAGGGACTTCTCGAGGAGGTCAACGGTGAGAGTGGTGGGGCAAACTGAGAGGAAGTGGTCCCTGACTACGCGAAGGGAGTCAGGGAGCCGGGTGACTATGTAGTAGAGGGTGATGTACATGGGGGGGGGGTTCTTGGCGCAGAACTCAGCAGGAAGCGCAGCGCGGTAGCGAGTGTCACTAGTGCGGAGGTGCGTAATGAGGTCAGCGACTGTGGGAAAGGCAGCAAGGTCAGGGAAGAGGTACGGTAGCATGAGGCGGCTCAGTGCAGCAGTGGCAGGGGAGGAGTAGCGCGCAACTACAGCGTCGTACAAGGTGTGAGCACTCTTGTACTGGCTAAAGTGCGCACGCTCAGAGGTAGGCAGGTGGCGACGCACAGCAAGACGTGCAGCAGCATCGCGCGTGGCCCACTGTGAGCGAACAGTGGCGTCAGCATCAGCAGCGGGGGCAGGGGAGGCACCAGAAGTGAGGTCAAAGAGGGAGAGGCCGTCTGCTCTGTCGCACTGTAAGAAAAGCTGCAGGTCATCTATCCAGACGTCAAAGTCAATGGCCCGACCCTCAGCGTCCAAAGCGAGGACACTAGGGGTAGCCATGACAGCAGTAGACTAGCAGCGCAAACAGTAGGGTGAGGGCAGTGCTGTGAAAGAGGCGCTGCTCTTACCGGACAGGGCGGCTCAGGTGGCTCGGCTGCAGGGCGGCTCGGCGGCTCGGCTGCTGGGCGGCTCGGCGGCTCGGCTGCAGGGCGGCTCGGCGGCTCGGCTGCTGGGCGGCTCGGCGGCTCGGCTGCTGGGCGGCTCGGCGGCTCGGCTGCTGGGCGGCTCGGCGGCTCGGCTTCTGGGCGGCTCGGCTGCTGGGCGGCTCGGCGGCTGGGCGGCTCGGCTGCTTGGCGGCGCGGCGGGGCCGCTGAGAGGGCGGCGTCCGGGGCCACTGGGAGGAGGCGGCGAGGCCGCTGAGAGGAGGCGGCGGGGCCGCAGGTAGGTGGCGGGGCCGCTAGTAGGTGGCGGGGCCGCAGGTAGGTGGCGGGGCCGCTGGTAGGTGGCGGGGCCGCAGGTAGGTGGCGGGGCCAGCACAGGTAGGTGGCGGGGCCGCGGGTAGGTGGCGGGGTCGCTGGTAGGTGGCGGGGCCGCAGGTAGGTGGCGGGGCCGCAGGTAGGTGGCGGGGCCGCACAGGTAGGTGGCGGGGCCGCACAGGTAGGTGGCGGGGCCGCGGAGGGCGGCGACGAGCCGTAGGGGGCCGTGAGGGGCCGCGGGAGGGGCCGTAAGGGGCGTAAGGGGCCGCGCGAGGGGCCGTAAGGGACGGCGCGAGGGGCCGTAAGGGGCGGCACGAGGGGCCGTAAGGGCGGCGCGACGGGCGCGACGGGCCGTAAGGGCGGCACGAAGGGCCGTAAGGGCGGCGCGAAGGGCCGTAGGGGGCGGTGCGACGAGCCGTGAGGGGGCTGCTAAGGGCGACGCGACGGGGCCGTGAGGGGCCTAGCGAGGGCGCGACGGTAGGGAGAGCACACAGGGCGCGACTCGGGCCTGAGCGAAGTTGGGTACAAATGCAAACCCTAGAAAACTGTACCCCATATGTGCTACCCCACTATAGCCTACAGTAGCTCTGTCATATAAATCTGACAGCACAGTCGTTACGCGCTGTCGCAGCACAGCAAATTCGCCCAATCACAGCAGATTTGCCCTGACACAGCAGCAGATTCGCCCCTCACACAAGAGATTCGCCCTGTCAGAGCATGTTTCGCCAGAAATCCCCTTGGTGCACGGTGCACAGTGACGGCGCGCCAAAACAATGAGTTTTCGGTTTCAGGGTAGACCCCGATACAACACTGACTCGTCAGTGTCCTCAAACACAAAACACTGGAAAATCAGAGTTCGAAATTTAAAAACACTGAAACATCAGGGTCGTTGAAAAAAAAAGGCTGATGCATCAGGGTCATGATAAAAAACGGGGGTCAAACTTCAGGAATTCAGGGTAAAATTCCTGACATCTGAGGCCCTGCTCAATACGCTGCAACAGCAACAACCATTTTGTGTGGAGAATCAACATACAAGACGACTCATTTAATTGTTTGCACCCTGGTTTTTAAGAGCAGTTTCTGTGAAGCACCCTTACTGAAAGAGTAAAAGCTGGGTGTTGGCCTTACGCGAAAGAGTACCCCAAATCCTATCCAGAGGCCTGCTATCGGCCCGTTCTCTGGAGCACCATTTCAAGTTGGGACAGGGTTCATTATTTTATATTCTGGTTTTAAAGGGTTGTACCCCACATTGGCTACCCCACTACAGCCTACATCCAATTGAAAAACATATTTAGTTTGACAAATCAGAATGCCTCAAAACGAATCTAGGGGCCTGCACCTTGCACAAGATCTTACCATTTATCTTCTGTAGTCAGTTAGCTTTGATACAATTATATACATACAAGTGGAAGTCAGCCTATCGCCGCAATGGTTGCAAGACAAGTACAGATCTGACTGCGTGGCCCAACTTATCTACCCACGTCAGACTGCCGTAGGAGAATCTCGGGGATTGCTTGGTAACGATAAACGTTACACTGTATGTTACGCTCTCGCCAACCCGAATGGAGAAGAACGAAGGAGTCACCACGACCTTCACTCCCGACGGGGGTACAACTTTCGCCGTGTAGTTGGACGGTGCGTTCGCGACATTGGTGACTGTTCGCGTCACCGTTGCTCTCTTTACTATTCGCGAAACGGAAATAACGGGCCGGTTGAGATTTGCTGGAGCCAGAGGACTCAATGTAGAGTTTCTGAACAAGGATAGAGTGAGGCCCATATCTTGGCCAGCCAGAAAATTCAGGAGGTCCTGAGCGCTCATGTCGTAGGTCAGGCCGGGATCCAGCAGGCCGGGCGGGTTGATCTGCCCCGCGCCCATCTCCCAAGGCGTGGCGAGCGCGCCGCTCTCGAGGAGGATGGGCTTGGCAATGTTGTTGGTGGTGGCGGCGCTGGTCATCATGGCGGACATCACCTGCGCCGGACTCCACGTCGGATTGCGCTGCACCACCAGCGCCGCCACGCCCGCCACGTGAGGCGTTGCCATGGACGTCCCCGATAATAGCCCAAAAGTCACCATTCCTGCGTCTTCCAGACTCCCACCGGCGGCAGACCAGAGACTTAGACCGGGTGCGACTAGATCTGGCTTAAGGATGTCGTTGGTGGGGTAGGGGTGCGCTGGTGAGTCTGCCGGATCGGCGAGGGGGCCTGAGGAGGAGAAGGAGGCGATCACGGGGTGGCCTGGCAGCTGGCGTATGGTGAAAGACGCCGGTATGCTGGCCGTTGCACTGCTTGGAGAAAGGGTGGGAAGTAGAGGGGAGATGGGTGGGGCTGGTACTCTGAGTGTTTCGTTGGAGGTGGAAGTGGAATAAGAGGGTGGGGGAATGGAAAGGGCGTAAGAGTGAGGGCGCATGCATGTTCGTTGCGACAATTGCTGCTTACGACAAAACTTTGTGAGCATACGTACACTACGTACATCGTTTTGCCCAGCGCTGCGTGCAAATGGAGCAGCAGCAGCAGCAGCAGCACCGAAACCACAGCCACAGCAACAGGCATAGCTCAGCTCGCATCGCAAGCTGCAGCACTCACCCGCGCGTCTTCTTCATGTACGCCAGCAGCGCAGCGCCATCTTTGGCCGTGAGGTGCAGCACGGGCACGGTGGAGGGAATGTTGTCATACAAGTTGGAATCGCCTTTGGGGTCGTTGATTAGGATCATCGCAAGCCCCCCGCCGCGTGTCACTTCCTGCACCTTCTGCCAGATGAACGCCGTGCCGCGCACGCACACCACGATCTTGCCCGCGATCATGCTTGGGTCTAAGCCGCCATCGAAGCAGTACTTGCCCTGGGTCATGCGGGCACAGAGCAGCACAGACAGAAGGTGGGTGAGGGTGGAATTGACGGAAGGGGAGGAGTAAGGGCAGGTAGGAGCAGAAAGAACAAAGGTACGGGAAGGGAGGTACAGCAGAGACCAGGTGGCAGTAGTAGACCGGCGCATACCTCGTAGGTGCCGCCCAATCTGGCGGTGGTACCGTCGATGAGCGGCAGGCCAGCAGCGGTGCGCGCATCTCCGCCCATGCCCGCCCCCACGAGGCTCTTCCTATTCCCCATGGTGACCACAGCGCTGAACTGGCGGCCGATGGAGCTGGCCCCCACCGTCAGGTAGAACGGCGAGAAGTTGCTCACCGTGCGCCACGACGCCCACGCCGTCGGTGGCCGCCCATCGTTCCCTGCCGCCATCACCATCACCACGCCGGCTCGCAACGCGTTCAGATACGACACGTCGGTGAAATAGTCCGTGAAATCGTATAGCCCTGCAAGCGAGATGGAGATCACATCCACGCCGTCCAAAATCGCCTGCTCTACTGCTGCCTTGACGTCCGCGAGGGGCGCGGAGGCGTCGTGAGCACTGCTGCGCCAGAGGACCTTGTAGATGGAGAGGAGTGCGCCGGGCGCCATGCCGCTGGCTGCGCCAATCAGCTGCCCGGTTTTGCCTGTGACGTCCACCCCGCTGTTGCCCGCTGCCGCCCTGGGGGTGCCACGGAGGGGAAGTGGTGGGGACAGGTTAGGTGAGCACGGGAAGGGCCACGTGGCGAAAATGTGGGAAGCAAGGGTGTGGAGAGTGCAAGAAAGGGCGGCCGGAACATATGGCTACTAATGTGATTGGTAGTATTATGGTACAGATTGGCCACTTCCCACTTCCCCATCGAACCTACATTTTCCACTTTCCCCCCATCCCCCTTCCCTGTTTTTCCCCTTTTCTCTCTTATCCGACCAACTGCTCGCGACCCCATGGGCTCACCAAGTGCAGCAACTCACCCCGCACACCAGGAGCCGTGGTTGAAGGAGTCGCGCGGCGAGAGGTAATCGACCGTGAGGTCGATGCTGCCCCGTTCCGCCGTAAACGCCGAGTAGATGGCCCGCGCGCCCACCACCTTGCCCGTGCACGCCTCAAAGTCCCCCGTTGTCTCACACGCGCCCGCGAAAGTGGAGGGCGCGGACGGGGACGGCACGCCGGGCTGGGGAGTGGGGGGGAAGGGGAGGGGGAAAGGAGAAGGGAGAGATGGTGGGCAAGGGGGAAGGGGAAGGGAAAGCGTGGGGTTGGGGTTGTTAGCGTTTGGGTCTTCTCCTCCCTGAATCTCTGGATGCGTGGTGACTAAAGATCGAAACTTGCACCGCGCACGTGAGTGAGATGTGGCCACATCATGCCATGTGGCCTCTCCCAGTCTCCCATCCCATAACTGCCTCTAGACGGATCATTGGGAGTGTACGGCATGCTGCCGTGTACGTGAGTGGGATCTGCGACAGCATGCCCTGTGGATCCTCCCAGCACCCTTTATTTCACTACTGCATATCTGCCTTCACCGCCCTCTGCGCACTCTCTGCTCTTTACCCTTCCCCACCCGAACCCCGGCGCTCGCCGTTCTCGTGCGCACCTGGCTCGCGAACGACGGGTGCTCTGGCCAAATGCCGCTGTCGATCACGCCGATCACAACGCCCTCCCCTTTGCTCTGCGCCCCTTCCGCCACCCCCGCGGACCCACCCGCCAATCCGCCGCGGGACGCGTTCCAGAGCGAGGAGGGGAGTTTGAGGAAGGCGGGCGAGTGCGTGGTGGCGGGGTACAGCCGCACGCTCGCGCGCACTCGCGCCACGGCGGGGTGGCGCTGCAGCCGCCGCACCTGCGCGGGGGAAAGCCGCGCCGCGAAGCCATTGCTGAGGTACCGGTAGCTGTGGAGAATGCTGGCGGGGGGCACCCCTGCAGACGCCGCGACGTTGCGCTGCTGGCGCTTCAAGAACGCGGAGAATTGCCGCGCCTTGGCGGACCGCACGAGCGCCTTCCCCTTCCCCCGCCACTTGCCCCGCTGGCGCTCCCATTCCTTGCGGATGCGCCCGCCCAGCGCGCCGCTGAAGCGGTCCGTGGCGGAATGCAGCGCAGAAAAGGCGGAAGCAACGCGCGCGGAGGGTGCGGGCGGAGCAGTGGCGGGGAAACCCGCAAAGCCCCCGCGGTAGGCAAGGACGGGGGGCGCGGAGCGGAGAGAAACGATGTAGACCGAATTGGAGACTGAACGGTAGGCTGATGGGGGAATTGGCCGAGGTGACGCGTCGGGGTATAAGCAGGGAAGGTAGGAAGTTGGACGGGATAAGGCAACGTTGGGTGGGATAGGAAGGGAACGTTCGGAGCGATAGAGAAAGCGCCGGCGGCGGCGACGAGAGGAGAATTACTAGTGAGGGACGGAGAGGGGAAACGACGGGTACTAGGGACACATAACATGACGAGGGGCAGCAGCGGGTGGAGCGGCGAGTGACGGCCGAGGAGGGTCTTACGTTGAGCGCCGAACGTGCCGGTGGCGCGGTGGAAGCAGCAGCAGGGCAGCAGCAGCAGCACGAGCAGCAACTGCAGCACCGCCGCGAGGATTCGCCTCATCATAACGACCGCGGCCCTGTGCTAACCGGCTACGTTAGTGGTCTGCTCACTGAGAAACTGCTGTTCGTGGTACTTGAGGGGTGCCACTGCTAGGGTCATTGTGGTTTATGAACAGTTAGGACAAGCTGAACGGCGCGCCTTTGGTTGGACTAAACCCCAACGCGCTGCGATCAATGGTATCATATATGCGACGCTGTTAACTAAATGAGGTTGATTTGACAACCTGCACACTTCAATCTGGTGATCGTGATAGCGAACTCCCGCCAAGTTCGCGTAATGGAGGCGCGGTCTTGGGGGCGACTATTTCTTGCTGGAGCTGATTAGATGAGCCTTGGCAATGCAACTAAGTGCGTCTGCGGTGGGGGGGAATGTGTGGGAAAGATGTCGGCAGCGGAATTTTGAGTCCATCCGAGCCCTGGTGGGCGCAAACCCACCAGGTCCCTCTCCTGGTGGGTTTCGAATCCACTAGGACGCGGAGCCGGCGGAAGCTTTCTGCCCTGGGCAAAAAAAACTATTCCCTATCGTGACCGGCATGCCGTTCGGGAGCCTCAACCCTAAAATTTGAGGGTTGATGCTCCCGAGCCGCATGCCTTCCGAGTGGGTTTTTGTTTTTTTCTTGCCCGCGGGCAGATCGCTTCCGCGAGCACGCGGGAGCGATCGCGCTATCGCCCGTGTTTTACTGTTACTGTATGAACCTTTGATGTCGGCAGCGGAATGATTCCGGGGAGCACAGTGGTGCATGGACAGAAATGCTTTTCAGAAGCAACAGACGTGTGGACAGACCAGTTGTTGACTTCCGTTTCAACATTCAGAAAATCTGTTCCATCGTCTGTTTGCGTGAGTCACGCCTGACGTCCGCATTGTTAGCCGCAAGCAATCAGGGATCACGCGATTCTCTGCTTTGTTGTCTCTGTCTTGTCAGTGCAATGAGGCAAGTGTACAGGTTCTGGTTTGGAGGCCTGCGCTAATATAGTTCTTTTCCGAGTCGAATAGATGTTCCCTTTGTAAGTCCTATGAGTAGCCCCTCCTTTATAGTCCCCTATTCAGCAGGATTTTTTGGCAGGAAATTTTGGCATGATTTTTTTTTTGGCAGGTTGACACCTGTGCGGTGCATGAATCCGTTCCTCAGCCAATCGAAGGCCCCCAAAGTTTCTTGAAGATTCCAGAAGTTTCTAGAATATTTGAAGGATCTACGTTTTATTGTATACTGCTATTATGTATATCTGGATCGCGCTAGCTTCTACTTCTGATCGCGCGATTCCTAAGGCGCTCAACAGTGGCGTCACATGAAGTTTGCTGTCCGGAGAAAGCAGAACGATAAATCACATAGCGTCGCATATCTGAAGTAAACGGTCGCACCCTTAATTCCCTTTCGCATTGTCTTTTGTTTACTCCTGCCATGTAATAAATGAATCTAGAGAAAATTTGGCTCTTACTGTATAACCAATGAGATTGGCAGCTAGAATGGCTTTGGATGTAAGAATTGGACGGTTGTAGAACACGAAAGCGCCCAAAACGGTGATGTCAGATCGTATACAAAAACAATTTGTCGCATTCGAAGCAATTTTCTTTACGCACCATTATTTTTTGTTCACCTAATGAACATTTCTTCGCTACTTGACTGGGGTTTGGCTACTAGAACCCGCTAAAAAAATCCCAACGTTATTGCCGGTACTTACGCTTGTTCTCACTTCGTGAAACATTGTGTAGACGCCAAACAATTTATCCAGTGTAGACGTTGGTAAGATTGTCAATAATTGGGTGTACATAAATTGGTGATTCATCACTATTGTACCACGACATTATCTCATTCGACCGAATCACACTGACTGCGACTTTGAGCCTCGCACTAAGTGATTCAAAGACGGCTATTTACATACATAAATTGATAACCGTACAAGACTTCAAACCGAACAAGACTGTCCACCATCTTCAAAGGTAGATCTCAGTACCTGGCTGTGGTTTAAAACAATAAAAGGGCTCATTTTACCCATGAGATGTTAACACACAATGGGGTGATGGTGCACGAAATGCTTTCGGGTATCAGTATAGAAAACTGGTGTAGAATGAGTCAAGCATTTTCAGTCGGTGGGCAGGTGAGTAACTATGGAGGGGGAAGGTGGTGGGTGGGAGGTGGGAACGGGAGGAGAGGGGGAAGTTTTTGGATGGTTTGGGGATGGGTGGGGCGGTGCACTAGAGGGGGAAGAATTCGGGGAGTTTGATCATGCAGATGGTGGGAGGGGGAAGTGGGGTCTGAAACACCTGCAACAGTGTTTTGGAGTAGAGGTGTCCACCTGAAGCGTTGGAAATCGAAGGGTTGATCCATAGTCAGATTCAATACAGTAAAAATAACGTATTTCTCTGCCCGCTGTCCTAATACAATACACTCCTCGAAAACTGAAGTGAGCCGGTAGCACCACCGAACAAGGAAGGCTGTTTGTGTGTTGGGAGGAAGAGGGGGTGGGTGGTGGGGAAGAGAGAGGCTTTGGGAGGAGCTGCACTGGGCACTTCGGCGTGGCAGTTCTGTTCGATCGAACGGCAGCACCATCCCTGAGGAGGCTGTCAAGATATTGGCTAGGTTGGCGAATCCTGCGCCTACAGAACACCGCTCTGGTTGGCGTTTTCTTCAGACCAGACGGGCAACGAGAATCTTTGCGCTGATGCCAGGGAAACAATGAATTTCCTGGTTTACACTGAACTGCAGTATACATGTCGCTTTGTCACCAGCTGTCTGACTCAACTGGATCCTGATTTCGAGGCAGGTTTACGGAGGGGCCCAGAATATTTGAGATTAATACACACGATGCTCGTTTGACTAACCCAAAGTTGCCTGGTAAAGAAAGCTTTACCAGTCGCGCCAAGGAGGTTTGTCTTATGCGGATTTCGTATGGTCTTCTATATCAGACGGTGTAAAACAAACTGAAACCCCTAGGGAGCTGGGCACCGCTTTCAATGCCTCAACCCTAAACACTTGCCAGTCCCCGTGTTTAGGGTTGATATCTCCCTAATTGCACCGCATGAAAAGCATCAACCCTAAACACCTTGCTTGGGTTACGACCTAAATAAAAAAATAAAACCTAAACATCTTGCTTTCCGTGTTTAGAGTTGATGTGCCCGAATTGCGTCCCTGTATTTAGGGGTATATTTTTTGTCAAATCCTGCTTAGATTTAGTGCTTTGTAAATAATTGAGAAAGTCGCGATGCAAACGTGGCGAAAAAGAACCACCTGGCACACCCACTATATAAACAATAACAAAAAATAACCTACACGAAACAGTTACACCTAGCAGGACCACCAATTCCTGCGCATTCGATTTGGATGTTACAATCGCAAAGCGTTTGTCCGTCGATTCATTTGGAGGCTTTGTCGCCCTACTTGCGGTGCGAGTTTGGTCGACAGGATTGTAAGAGATTTAGACCAATGAGCGTCGAGCTACGTAGAAATCGCGGTGTGACTGTCCGTGATGACCCCGTGACCAGACGTGATAATACGGCCATAATTGTGACTGCGCGTATAATTTCCCTTTTGAAAACCGTGCTTTGTCAACTGAAAGCCCTTGAGCTTTCAGCAATTTCTGGTCTGGAGTTCTACTGTGTCGCACCATCTTGACTCGACATTCTCATTGGTTGGAGCAGATTTGCAATGAAGCTGGCGCGGCAGGAGCACTGTGTGCGATTTGTGGAGCACATGTGGCGCGTGGGAGCCAGGCGCGAGTTGCAGGCACCTTCCACATGTGCGGACGGTACAGATCCACTGTAATGTCAACGAGGAAACCGCCGCACTACACCCAATTATCTGTTAATCTCACCAAGCGCGTTTCAGTCGGAGGTGCTTGTCCTTTTCGCCCGGTGCTTTTAACGTCTGCGAGTCACATTTCCCTGCGTATTGCCGTCCCTTGCTCCCCAAATGTGGCTATAAATACGTTTTTGCAACTGTAGGCCGGCCTGACCTAATCATGACTAATAAATTTGGCCTCGTCTTTAGCGCGAATGCGTGTAACTGTAGTGTTCTGCCACCAATTTTCTTAGACGTTTAGCAATTCAATGCTGAACTGATCACGCGTGTGAATCGATTCTATATGACATAAACGCATCGCTCCCAACCTTCTATGTGAACGTACCGAGCCGGTGGCACAATCGCGGGTGCATCAAACAAATAAGTGGGTGTATTGGGCACGTGGTTGTAGGTGACTGGGTAGATGTCACTCGGTGGGGAAATTATATGGGTAGTCACAATCAGGCTCGATATATCACATTTGGCCACAGGGGTATCACGAACAGTCACAGTACACCTCGTAATTATCGCGTGTGATCACAGTGCTATCACGGATAGTCATACCTTGCCCCGCAAGTCTATCACGTTTGGTCACAGATGAAACGCCCAATCGAGAATTGTAACTACTCGAGTCACTGTAAGGATTCAGGGGAAATTTTTGTCAAACTTATATCATATAGCTTGTCTAGGCTATAGTGGGGTAAACACTATGGGGTACAGTTTCCTAGGGTTTCCTACTTGTACCCAACCTTGTGCTAGTTCATTCATTCCTCATTCTTCACATGGTATAGAGCAGGTTCCCTAGTGGGAACGCTTCCTTGGGCCCACCACTGAAATTTTCCTTTCTGACCGGAGCGCCAGTCGCTCCTGCCCGAGGCGCGCCTTTTTCGCCGCCCTTTCCAGGCCCCTAGTGGCCCCTAGCGGCCTCGTCGCCGCCCCTCACGCGGCCCCGTTGCCGCCCCTAGCGGCCCCGTCGCGCCTCTCACCCTACGCGGCCCCGTCGCCGCCCCTACGCGGCCCCGTCGCAGCCCCTAGCGGCCCCGTCGCCGCCCCTAGCGGCCCCGTCGCCGCCTCTTACCCTATGCGGCCCCGTCGCCGCCCCTACGCGGCCCCGTCGCCGCTCCAAAGCGGCCCCGTCGCTGCCCCTAAGCGGCCCCGACGCCGCCTCTACGCGGCCCTGTCGCCGCCCCTAGCGGCCCCGTCGCCGCCCCCCCCCCCCCCCCCCCCCCCCCCCCCCTTCCTACGCGGCCCCGTCGCCGCCACTACACGGCCCCGTCGCCGCTCCCCTCCCTACGCGGCCCCGTCGCTGCCCCTAGCGGCCCCA